CCAATACTATTTCTTCAAACAGCTGTTCAACATCTTGATTTTCTTCAGTTTCGTCGATCAGATGAGTATTTGGAGCCTTAATAGTGTCCCATATCCTCCTTATTTTTATAGTCTTGGCATCTTTTTACTTGCCATTCTGACTGAGTGTCCTATATGGCATTCGATCCTCTTCTTTATTCACTTTGTTTATTCCATTTAATATACTTCTCATCTCAGGTCATGTGTTCTCCATTTCAGACTGGTTCCCTTTTATAATTTCCATTTCCACTTTTATCTCTTTGTTGGAGTTCTCTACACTTCCCAGAAGTTCATTGAGCATCTATATAACCAGTGTTTTGAACTCTGCATCTGTTAGATTACTTGATTCCATTATATCTGGATCTCTGTTCTGTTCTCTCATATGGTTTCTGCTTCTTTGTCTTTCTTTCCATTTTGGCTGCCTTTCTATGTCTGTTTCTATGTACTAAGCAAAGCTCTTAACTCTCCCGGTCTTATCAGTGTGGATTTGTGAAGTAGGTGCCCAGTGGCACAGTCCTGAGAGGCGTTTAGCTGAGGGCCAAACTTAGTCCCAGCATGTGTCCCTCCGGGGTTACCTGTTAAGATTCAGCAGGCAATCCACAGATGCTGTGCTTATAGTTGCCTCAAAAGGCGACACCAGAATCCGAGGCCAGCTGTCTCCAGTGTGAGTCTAGGCACTACTCAGCAAGCAGCACCTGACTTGCTGAGGACACACCTAGATATGGCTTGGCTGGGGCCCGATTTGGGGTAGTGGAGTTTCAGGGAATCCTCTGTTATCTAGTTTGATGACATCACGGCTATAGCAGTGCTGTGTTCGAGCCTTGGGAATGGGGAGGGCTCTACAGGGAACAATGGGTACTGCTGGCCCTTCTGTACAGAGCAAGTCTCACCTGGGCCCTCACTCCAACAATGTCTCTCTGTAAGTTCCTGGTGCCTCCTCCGTGTAGCTGAATAGGCATTGGTGCTCAGAGCGAAAAGGTCCATCACCGCGAAAATCCACTCGCGGACGCAGCCCCTTTAAGAGGCGTCTGCTGCTACTGCAGCCTCCGTGTCACTCAGCTGCTCAGGACCGGGCAGCCCCACATCCTCGGCCCATCCTACCTTCTGCCGTTGAAGAGTGCTTTCTTGGATTTCTCCCTAGCTGTCTGGCTCGTTCAACTAGATGTTAGGCGATTTTTCCTTGCTGCTGCTCCTTGTTTCTGTCACAACTCTGATTTGGCCGCCAGAGGGATGAACAGAGCCTCTATCATCTAGGCCATTTTTTTCCCTCCTCGTGAGAACATAGTTTTTTAAAATAAGCTTTTCAGTGCCATTTAATTTTTAACTAATGTCTCCCCATGTGGGTTTCTCTTTTTCATGCCATTTACTAATTGCATCTGTAACCACAGAGACTAGTCATGGCCATTCTAGAAAGTCTGTTAATTCACAGAAACTCAGTCACAGAAAAGTGCTGAAACCTGCTCAAAACCCTCCTACGGCGGCCCATCGTGGCAGACTAAAATCCACACCCCTTTGCTGACCAAAAGGGCCCTTTGCACCTCTCCGCCACTGCGGCCCCCAACTCATTTCCCTCTGGACACAGTGGCCTTCTTGACGGCTCCCCAATACCCAAGCCTGTCTCGCCTCAGGGCCTCCACACTATCACTGGCTCTCTGACTGGAACGCACTTCTCCCAGATGCTCGCATGGCTTGACCCTTCACATCATGTGGGTTCATGACATGGTCCCACGTCACTTCTGAAGAAGACTTCCCGGCCCATGATGTTTAAATCAGCATTCCTCTCCCCAACCACCACCTGCTCTTTATTCTTGTACCATTTTGTCTGTCTATGATTTACCTGCTGTTCCCCAGCCCCAAATCAGAATATATGCAGGCAAAAAAAATTCCAGTTCTCCTCTGAATTCCCGAAGCTTGGGAGGACCGGGCATATAGTAAAAACTCAATAAATACTTCATGAATGAGAGAGTAAATCTTCTGAGAGGTGAAAGAAACTCATATTGATATGACTGACCTACATCAAACCATAAGTGCATATGAACCTTGCACAAAACACAGAATGTGATAAAAGAAAAATACGTGATGACAGATATATGTATAAAGGATTAAAGATGTCCAGAATTTTTCTGCAGTCCTACTTCCTCTTATTCTGAATACGGGCCTTCCTGTCACTGCCTTGGCCCTCGGAGTTGGCCTGCTCTGGGCCTTGCCTTCAGGAGGAATGACAGCTCCCATTCTTTGGTCTCCTGGGATCCAGCTGTCACTAAGTGCGAGGACTCAGAGATCTGTGCTAATGACAGCCACATGGAGAGGCTGCGGAAGATGACAATGTGGGAGACAGAGCGAGATGCCAAGGAGCACCAAGCCATCTTGGAAAGGATCGGATCTTCTGGCCCAGCCACTCCAGCTGACAGCACGTGGATCGAAAATGAAAGACCCGGACAAGCCCTTCCTGGATTCCTGACCCATAAAACTGTGAGCAAAGCAAAAATGGCAATTTTCAGCCACTAAGTAATGCAAGAGTTTGTAAGGCAGCAATAGCTGACCAGAACATAAGACAAGAAGAGATTTCTTGAAACTGAGCAAAAAACAAGTTATAAACAATGTCACAGGATAGTGAATATGAGTGAAAAAGATCTAGAATATCTGTTTTTAAACGTAGGTAGGCCATCAATGCAATGGGATTTGTTACGGGGCAGAGGGAGGGATGGGTGAGATGCAGTGGACAGGAAGACAATACTAAAGGGCACTGGAAAGGACAAAGCACAAGTATCACTTGATGACTCACCTGCTACTAGTTAAACTCGACACAGACTATTATATTCACTTATGGGTTGGAGTATCTGAAGCATCATAAGGAATTCAAAGATGAATAGAGAGATGAGAGGAAAAAAACCCATGACGAAACATAATGTACCTGGACTGTTATATAGAAGAGGATTTAAGTAAAACCTAGTGACATTGAAGGACCTATTTTTCTCTAATCTACAGAGATTAAACTGAAAGAATATTTACAATAAACAAACATGACCAATGCTGAGTGCAGGTAAAGACAGAACAGCTTATTCTAAACAGCAGACCAAAGCCTATCTTCTTGAAATCTGTTAGAAAACATCTGTGTCTGCTTAGGAAAGGAGGGATGTTATTCTGTCCAAATGTGAGAGACTTTCAAGGTTTCTCCTAGGGAGACTGTGATTTTATGACCTAATAACTGCTCCTACCGCTATTACCACAAGTGCATGTGACAATGATATTACTCAACAGCTACTTGCCACACACTGTGATGGCCAACACCACCTAACCTTTATGAATATTCTTCCAATTAAGTAGTATCTTCATTTTCTAGATGGTGGTTAGCAAGATGAAGTAATATATGCACAAGATTAATGTGGTACAATTAAGACTACTTGTGGTCTTTGACCCTGGTTCCTGGCATACAGCTTCAAAAATCCTTGGAATTTCTCCAGTGACAGGAGTCTTTGTTATGCTAATGAGATGACTCTTGATTGGTCCCAAGATAACTTCAGGATGGGATGGTGACCAGAAAGACCGACCATGTGATTAGTGATTAGAAGGTTGGAACTTAGACCCAGCCTCTGGGGAGGGAAGGGGAGGCTGAAGATTGAGTTCCATCAAATGACCAATGATCCAACAATGATTCAATCAGTCACGGCTACATAATGAAACCCAAAAAAACTCTGGACACTGAAGCTCAAGGGAGCGCCTGGATGATGAACACATTGATGTGCCCTGACTCCATGGAAAGAAGGCACGGAAACACTGCACTCCCTTCAAGACCTGTACTTACGATTACAGTTTATTATAAAGGATACACATACAGGTAGTGTATGTACATCCCGTATGTCTATCCTTTACAGTAAACTGCAATTGTAAGTACAGTGCTTTCCTGCATGCTATTAGTTGTTCTAATGAATTACTGAACTTGAGGAGGTCATGGGAACCCCAAATTAGTAGCAACCTGGTCAGAACTGCAGGTGTCTTAGAGACACCACTCATGGCTGGTATCTGAAGTGGGGCAGTCTTTTAGAAGACTGACTCTTAAATTACAAATCTGACACTAACTCCAGGTGGTTAGTGTCAGAAGTGAATTATAATCTACTCAGTTGAGGTTGAAACAGAACAGTCACTAAGATATGAAGTGCTATAGCCAGGACTCAAATCCTGTTCTGTCTGATTCTGAAGAGTATTTCATTATTATCAGAGTCAAAGTATAAACCATAACAACTTTAAATCTTTCATTTTAAAATTAAATGGTACATAACTCATGAAGGTTTTAGTTTCCATAGTAACTTAAAAAAATGAAAAATTGTATCAGCTTGACAACCGATAAACCCATTTAAGGAATTAAATTACCACATCATTGCTAGCAGACGTAGTTAACACAAATATCAGAGTGAACAGCTATGATCAAGTGGCTCTGAGGGATGGCAAAGTATTAGACAATATGAAGAGAATTTAGCGTCCAAAGTAAAAGCCACTTTTATAAACTTTTGAAGTTTTGAACCTTTTTCTATATCTCTCACAGAGTGCTTATTGTAAACAATTTTAAATAGCTAAGTACAAGTATAGAAATGTGAATCTGGTATAAAACGTTAAAAACCTATCTTTAACTTTCAGATACAATGAAAAGAGTCTCATTCTTATTTCCTGTGTGCTTGAGAGAAACCATAGGACATAAATTCCGATAATATCTTTGTGGTCAAAAGTGTATGTTACAAGCGTTCTCGGCCAACAAGGCAACTTTCTGAGCAGCAATACAGAAAAAAAAATTCATGAAACCCAGGTAATAATATTATGGTTTTTACTATAGCTTACATAAAAGCTTTCTAAGGTTTTATTTCAACTTACGAATCAAAAAGACATTTCCCAAAATTAATCTCCCTTTACCAGGTCGTATGTCAATTATATTGTTTTTGAGTGGCGAAAGTTTTCAGACTCATCTGTTTTACATTCCTCTTTCTTACCTGGCCTGTTAGTGGCTGCCATAATAAAAACCTGCTGACGTGTTTCCAGACCATCCATCTCTGTAAGTAGCTGATTCACCACCCGGACGCTTGTGCCTATCTAAAAAGAAATAATCACAGCTCCATCAGGCCCCGATAAAAAGAAAAATACATCGCCAGTTTTTTGTTTTGTATTTTTTTTGCCATACAAAATTATACATTTTATTTGAACAAAAGCTTTTGTCGAAAGAGATAACAATGATAATTTCCTGAGCAGTCACTATATATCCATATATCCACTGTATATCCATGCGCTGTGCAAAACATGTGCTCACCAGCAGACCGGTTCTTATTCACAGTGCAGATAAGAAAGCTGAGGCTGAGGGAGATTATTCGCCCACAGCTCAATAAAGGCAGAGATGAAACTCAAACTTAGATCTAGCTGATACCCAAGTCTTGGCCTCTGGGTTATACAAAGATCTAAAAGCTACACCGAATTTCCCTTTGGGCAAATCTGGACTCAGCTTTTCCCAGGATATCAGATGTTCCAGATCTTTCATCTGGAACACTGACACTTTTTTCTTTGAAGCGCACAGTACACAAAGTATAGCTACCTCAGGGCAACATCCAAGAGAAAGGTTCAGAGAATTGGTAAATAGAGGCATAAATTATTTACATATAGAAATTTTTTAAATGTATGATGGAGGAAATGAGAAAAGAAACACTGTGTTTTTTTTGTGTCATTAATTGCCTTTCTTCAACATAAATTTTATGTAGAGAGGTGGTACTGAGTTTAACCCACTGACTTCTCCAGAAAAAAAAATTGGGGGCACCTTATTATCACTCTTTGGTGAGATAACATTAATAGTTAGGAGATTAATAAAATTATAAGACTCAAAAAAATCAGTTACTGAGTAAAAATAAAAACAAAATATTGCTCTAATTCTACCTAAGCAAGTCAAAAACCTCTGAATCAATATAGGAAAAGCTTGACAGATTTTACTATTTTAAATTATAACATTGTACATAATTAAAAAATTAAAGATAAGTGATAAAACTGGGAAAAACAGTAGCAACACACATAATCGGACAATGGACTAATTTCCATCACATATAAAAAGCTCCTATAAAACAATAAAAAACCCATTTTAATAGCAAAAAGATCAAAATATATGATCAGGCAATTTATAAAGGATAAAATACAAATTCACTGAAAACGATCAACTTCACCGATAATCAGGGACATGAATACTAAGATGTAATATTGTTTTGCCAGTAAAATTGACAAAAATTAAAAGATGGGTATTATCCACTGTTAACAAAGGTGTAGGAAATAGTTACTTTTACACACTGTTGGTGGGTGTATGTAACTGGTAGTTTATTTGAGAGATGATTTAGTATTAGCTTTCAAAATATTATATGTATACATCTTTTACCCTGAAATTCTATTTCTAAAACACTCACATATGTCCACATATGTACAAAAATATCTGATAAGAATGTTTACTACAGATTTGTTTATAAGAGAAACAACTGGAAACAATGTAAATGTCGGAAAAACGAGAAAATTATTAAATAAATTCTTCTATATCCAGACTGTGGAATATTTTTGCAATAGTTCAAAGAATGAAGTTATAAAAAAAAAAAATTATTAACTACATGGGAAAATCATCACATTTATATAAAAAAGAAATCTAAAAAATCCATTTTTAGGTTTATGGAAAAAAGTTCTAGAATGATAAAAACTAAACACTGAACTGTTACCAGAAGTAACCCCTCCAAGCAGAGGTATAGGGAGGAGAATGGACAAAAGACTTTCAGTCAGTCTCCTTATACTTGAATTTATTAGAAATTTTCACGAGTATGCATTCATGTATAACTTGTATAATAACAAAAAAAAGAATACATTTGAATTTAAAATATTTTCAGAATCCCCTTCAGGTGAAAATGTTAAAAAGCAAAACACATATATCAGAATACAGAAATGTGTGGTGGTAGATATTTGAGAGATAACCTAGAGTTAGGAATGTAGTTCAAATGGCTGCAGACTTCTCTGGGGCAAGAAGTTGACTGGATATTGCTCAATGAACCCCTCCAAACTTAAATATTGGTTGATAACAGAGATGCAAACCAATGAAAGGGGCTGTTGACAAATGAAGGCTTTACTGGTAGAGAGTAAAAGCCAGAGCATTCCATGCCCTAATCGGCTGGATAGAAAGTATAGTGGTTTATTCTGGATTCCAGATTTTGGGATCTGAGAGCAGGGGAACAGGAAGGATCTTGGCCCCTAACACAAATATTGGAGACAAGACTGGAAATGGGTATTCTGTGATGGTACTGACAACTACCGGATAAGGAAACAAAATGGTTATGATGTGAATCACACACCAGTCAAGTTTTATTTTTGCAACTTTTGAATGTTTCTGAAGATTTTAAGCAAAACGAGGCACTGAATAAATGTTTTACTACCTAAGAGCACACACATAAAATAATTATTTGAAAATAAATCACAAAGGAAATATAATCACTTCCGTAGTCATCTTGTAAGAAATGTATGTATTCAATAATCTTTGCTATCTGCTTCAAAAAGGTTATTCTTTATGCTTCACTATGATTCCAACTGTTAATTACACAGCAGTATTAATGATACCGGAGGGTTTCTGGGCACTCGATATACTGAAATTCCTAAGAACTATGACTCCGTGTAGTAATGCAAGTGGCATTCAATGCAGACTAATTTATATCTTCCCCAGAGTGTAATGGTGCCAAGTCAGTATTACCTGACCCTACTGTGAGTGCACAATGGCTTAAATTACATTCTCTCCTGTCTCAAGAACTCAGTTAACTAAAGAGAACCATGAGATTATAAGACAGGCTATTCAAAACCAGTAATCATTTCCATTCCCAGCTACTCATTTGTGTGAATTAGATGCGTGCAACTGAAATAATATACAGAAAACTGAAACGGACACAGAGGCTAATAAAAATACAACTGTTATACCTCGGCCTCGATTTCAAATTATGAGGTTTCTTCACGTGAAGTCTCAGTGTTCTCAAGGAATGACTTTACAAGAACTACTTGACCTTTATATAAACGTTATAAGAACTTTCAAAAGGTGTGCGGTAGTTAAAAAATCTGGAAATCACTCATGTATGATACCCACCTCTCGGTCTGATCTTCGAGGGCATAAAGCATCCACTTCATCAAAGAAGATCACACAGGGGGCCGAGTTCTTGGCTCGCTGAAAAACCTGTCGCACAGCACGCTCACTCTCACCGACGTACTAAACATACACAGATAGGAAATACAATGCAAAGATAGTTCAACTTTGGGGTTTGGGCCAAATTATAGAAAAACTGGTTTTAAGTGGCATTTGTATGGCAGAGTCCAAAAAGTATTAGGGTGAACCACATGCAATTGCTGGTATTTGACCATTCCGATCTATAAATAGCCAGTTTTGTGTGTTTCAACTTAATAAAATTAACTATTATTTAAGCTTAGAAATTTTCTCATTTATAAAATGAAGACTAAATGGAACATAAAGTCTTCTCTAGGTCAAAAAATCCCCACAATTATTTTCTATTTTAGAAGTGATCTCCTAAGCTCTAAGCATATAAAATATCCAGCAGTAATTTTCATTAATTCAATAGTATTTTAATTACAAACAAGACAACTTACTGTTTGTCATTTCTACACAGGTCATCTTACTAAAGGAAGAATTATTTTGTCACATGGCATCAGAATAGGCAAAATGAGCCAACTAGGAGTCTAGGAGCTTTCTTATGGCAAATGTAGGTTAAAAACTAAATCAAACTATAAAAAATTAAGATTGGTCAGGAAACACAGCAATTCCTAAGCAGCTATAACATTAGGGCTAATTAATATAAAAAGTTATATGTATGAATATGATTTCACTTTTAGCAAGGCATAAGAAATTGTTTTTGTAAAATTTCAAACTATTTAAGCAGATTTTTTCGTTATAAAACTGCTAAATAAGACTGAATCTGAAAACATCTTTACAGTGCCAACAATATCATAAGGTATCTTTTGTTATTTTAAAGACTACACGGCCACAATAAAGTAATTAAGGCATATAATACACCACAGATGACAGTGATTTTTATTTTCTCATTTGAATAGAACTCTTTCACTCACATCGTCCTATAATTTTATTTGTGCTTTTGCTCATTCTGCTTCCCTCACTGGAACTGCTTTTCCGACCTACCTCCGAACAGTTCTTGCATTCTAAAAGATCCCCATCAATCTTTCTCTTCTCTTCTCTGCTGTTACAGCACTTTCTACCATCATAATTTTTGAACTAGTCTACATTCACCACATTATATCATAAAGTCCTTGGAAAGCAGAAGTCACGACCGTTACAAATTTTTCTGTGATCAAAATATCCTGCAGTGTACATATATAGTAGACACATTTAGTTTCCTGAAAACTCTAATTCAGCAAAATTATATTTAGAATGCTATACCAAAATATTCAGTAGATATTTCAAAAGAAAAGATATCAGTTGGGTTGGGAGAGAAAGTTTTAAATATGGAGGGAAGAGAACAATCAATATCCAAACAGACTTTGGATACAGCAAACCAAAATGACTATGTAAAAGGAAATTTGGTTTAGGGGAAGGTAAAACCTAGTGTCAAAAGGACAGATTAAAGTAATTAATCTTAACAAAGGGAACGGTTATTAAAAATAAGCACACAAAAGAAAAACCCACTATCTTGGTCTTTAAGAAATATTTCTATAAGGATCCTATACTTATTATCTCTAATTCTTTATTTGCCAGTTTTAAATCATGAACTGGCTTTTGCAAACTCAATTATTTAAAATACTCTCCCTAAAGTCACTAATTACCTTTTAATTGCCAAGTCTAAAATCCTCCCGTCCGTTGTTTTCATACTGTTGGGTGACACTGACAAGGTTGAAGCGACCTTCCCGTGGTTTTCAGCTCAGAAAGTCTTGGGCGTCCTCTGCCTTTGGACCCACCACTCTCCTTTGCCAGCTTTTCCTGCCTTGCTCCCTCACTGCTGGTATCTTCCGGGGTCTGTCAGAGGCTCCCGTGGTTAACACAATCACCCTGGCAGACCCCATTCATCCCAAGGTTTCAGGTTCCACTTAGATAATAGGGGCTCTTAGTCTCTTCAGAGCGCCAGGCCCACATTTCCCATGGCCTGCCAGGAATCTCCTAGTGGCTCTTTGAATCTAAAACGTCCTTGAGCAAACCCATTTTCTAACCCCAAGATGTCTGTCTTCCATGTTAGATCACCTAATCTCTCCAAGTCATTCTGGACTCTTCCACAGACCTCTTCCACAGACCTCTCCCCACATCTACCCCTAAAACACAAATCAGATTACAATGAGATAAAATTTCATAGTCGCCAGACTGGCAAAAACTAACAATCTGACACCACCAATGCTAGTGAGGACAGGGAACCATGGGAACACCCATTCACTGCTGGTGAAAGCATAACAACCACTTCAGGGCAAAAGCGGGCAATACTTAATGTTTTTGAAAGTGTACCTGCTATAAAATACAGCAATTCTATTTCCGAGTATATACCCCAGAGGGAAAATATGTCACAAATATGTGTGAGGATATGTGTATATAATGTTCAACCTAAATATCCATCAAGAAAAAAAACTGATTTCCAAGTGTGGTTATATTCATTCAATTGAGCATCACACAGAAAATTACTTCTAGGTAAACATATCAACAAAGATAACTATAAATATAACGAACAAAAGTAATAAAACAGTCACAAAAGAACACAGACCATTTATATAAAGCATTTTTGTTTTTGCTTTCTGCTCATAAAGAGATTTCCAAACATGTGACAAAAGAAGACACAGTAGTATATTGAACTCCAAATATAAAAATCACCCAGCTTCAATTATTATCAGCTCACGACTGACCTTGCTTCCTCTATATCCCAGCTACTTTTCTTTCACCTTATTTTGAGGAAAATCCCAGTCATCGTATGTTATTTGTAAATATCTCACTATCTCTAAAAGATAATTATTTTAACAAAACTACATCATTATCACATTTCAAATTTTTCTGAATTTCAAATATCCAGTAAGTGTTCAAATTCCCAATTGTGCTGTAAACATATTCTTGAAGCATGCAAAATAATACTATATGCTGTTCAAGGATAAATACATGTATAGTAAATGTAGACAGACATGTGCAGACTTAATGAACACCAAATTCAGGATTATGGTAATTTCTATGGGAGACAGAATGGGGGGACATGATTACGCAGGGGACTTCAAGTAGACTGGTTTCATTTGGGTTCTTTAAAGCTGGGTGATAGATACATGTGTGTTAATTATATCACTCACTGTAACTTCTGTGCTTAAAATATTTCATAATAAAAAATTTTAAATATTACACTCTTTAAAAAAGTTACACTCTTGCTTAAAGCAAGCCTCTATTAGCTTTCTCATATTCTGAACATAACACTGCAACTCGAGCTTGGTGTGAAAGCCCTTCACATTCTGGCTACGACTTCTTTGCCAGCTCATTCCCCCATCAATCCACCTCCCTTCAGAGCTCATTTCCATGGCCCCCTCCACCAGAAAGCCAGAACGAAGTGCAAGAAAAGCACAAAGGTGCACGGAAATCCCACAGGAAGGATTTATTCTTTATTCTGGGGGGAAAGGAGTATAAAATAGGAAGCTTGTAAAATATGAGAGGGGATAAATTTAAAAAGCCTTTTAAAACAAATGACACCACTCTCATTTCCTCTTTGAATATATTACAGAATGACATTTTTACTTTTCATAAGGATGGTCAGGAAATAAATTCAGTCTCTTAAATGTGAGTTATAAACTGCTTAAATGAAGATAGAAGTTATTATATAGCACTTTAGTGATTTCTTCCCCAAAAGTATTTTTATTTATTAATACTTAACTCATTTAAGCCATACAACAACAGGACAAGAAAAGTAGATCCAGGAGTCAGACACCCCAGATTCAAATCGTGGCTCTACTACTTCCTGACTGTCAGACTCTGGCCAAGTTATATAACCGCTCCAAACTTAAGTTTCCTCATCTGTGAATCAGAGGAAATGATAATTCCTATCTCACATGGTTGTTAAAGAATAATATATGTAAAATGTTTGATAAATACACGGCAGAGTAAATACTTTAAGATGTTAATTATTACAATTATCTCCATTTTGCAGGTGAGAAAACTGAGGCCCAGAAGTTTCACCAGACTTAATTAAGAAAAGCATTTGCACACACGAAGGACAGAGGTGTAAAGCTCCACGTTTTCACTTCTATGGTGGTGATCTTACCAAAATTCTACAATCGTTTCAAAGATCTGAGGACATTCTACCCTGTAGTTTGAATGACCATTACTTTCCTAATCTAAAACAAGGGCTGACGCCACAACAACTTACCATATTTAGTAATTCAGGGCCCTTGACAGATATAAAATTTAGGCCAGACTCATTGGCAACAGCCTAGTTAGAGGAAACAAAAAGAAACACAAATAAGACAAATATACAATAAAATAATAACTTGTGATAATGCAGGGATTTTTTTTGTGGTTTATACTCTATTTCCCCCACTTTTATAGTTGCCTCTTTCTTAATAAGAGAGGAGGCAAATGGGAAAAAGAGAAGTGGATAAAAAGAAAATTAAAGGAAGTGAACTTAACCTAAAACACTCTCAGGATTATTAAGACTAGAAATCAGATGGAAATGACATGGAACATTTGTGTACATGTGTAGCTCTAGCTTGGAATTCCAGTGAAGTATCACAATCTCTGTATCAAGAATTGCTTTGCCCAATGAAAGCAATCATTCATTTATTTATAGACCAAAATTTAAAAACATCAGTTTCAGTCATTACCAGGTGTCAGTATTAACAGGTATTTTTAATAAAGCTTAAACTGCATGGTTCAAAGCCAAAGAGAATAATGAAAGAGAAACACGTGGTTATACATGTAGAAAATCCAATATTTACAATCTGAATGCAGAGATGCAACCTGATTACAACCTCCCAAAACTTCCAGATGATCAGGAAACCGAGTTCTTTCCTACGCTTAGGACCTCACATCTGTGCTCCAGATCTACAGTCAACATGCTCCTTGGCATCTCCATTCGGCTGTTCCAGGTATATTTCAAACCTATCATTTCCAAAGCAGAACTCCTGAATCTCTCCCAACCCGCTCCAAACCCCATACCCGGAACTCTCCACCTCAGTAAACACAGTGTCTAGCCCAAAACCCTGGTGTCTTCCTTGATCTCTTGTCCTGTAATGTCATCCAATTGATCTGCAAGTCCTATTAGCTCTAAAACATAAGTGAGTCTGACACGTTCTCTTTCTTTACTACACCACTACCTCATCCAGACCACTGTCCTCTCTTGCCTAGACAGGAAAAAAACAAAAAACAAAGAAATGAACAAATGACCCCCTCAAACTCCTAACTGGTACCCTTTTACTGCTGCTTTCCTCCAGTCCACCTCCACACAACAGTCAGAGCACACTTTAAAAACGTAAATCAGATCATTTTACTACTAGGTTTCTCATTTACCTTCAAGTACAGTTTGGAATATATGTCATGGCTCACAAGCCCCTATTCTGGGATATGACAGTGTCTCTCTGGTCTAGCCGCTGGCTCTTTCCTGGTTCTTGAGCTCACCAAGCCCTTTCCCACCCTTCTTCAGGGATTTTGCAGCTGCTGGTCCCTCTTTCCGGAAGCCTCTTCTCCTTCTTTCTCTGACTATTATTGTGGCTAGCTAGTCCATCAGGATTCTGTTAAATGTCACCACACCCTGAACACCATTTTTATAATAGCCATCTCCCAATCTTTTACAACATGTTTATTTCCTGCATAAGTGTTGAACCAGCAATTTTGTTTATTGCCTGCCTCTTCCAGGCAGACAATAAATTCCATTAGCATAGGTACCTTGTTCACTAGTGTATCCCTAGCACCTGAAACAATTTCTGACAAAGAGTAAGGAGCTCAATAAAGACCTGTTGAACAAATAAATATATGCGTGCTCTGCTATGCAAAAATTGCTCAAGATGTGGATTCCCCTCTCTCTCAACCTTTGTCTTTCTGGCTGCCAATATAACTCTCCTACCTCTTACTCAACACTGTTAAGTAAAAGAGAGTCAGGATCCACATCTAATGAAGCCTGACTCAACCACATTAGGTTTCAACATCCATGTGCCAGATAACTAAGATTTAACCTATTAAAACCCCCAATGGTTCCTGAAACATCGGAAATCTTTGGCTTCTAAATGAAATATTGTGCACATAATTTTTCATGGATATCATTGTGCATCTTGTACTCACTTTCAGGCGCTATCTGCTTCCATACTATATAGTTCCAGGCAACTTTTCCGTTTCCTTTATTAGTCATTATTTTTAGTGTGTTGATTCCAATAATCACACACCTTTACCTTGTTTTTTTTTATATATATACACACACACACACATATATATATATAGTGCTAGTGTTTAGAAAAACTTTTATTATTTTATTATCATGAGAAAACAAAACCACCAAGATCAGCCAAAATCTTAACTTTTTATCAAAATCAAGGTTGCCAGATTCTGACCGATAAGTAGTTCCAAGATTTTACTACAGTAACACTTGTGCCAATCAGAGATATTTTCTATTATTCCTAGATTCTTGGGTAAGTAGTGATGCACCTTTTAGAGAATCTGATAAAAGTGGTGAACTCTCTCCCCAGAAAAACTATATATATATATATCAATCGCCTAGGCTCATAAATTCAGTGAGCTCTGAGGTCCGTCCATGGAGTCCTACCTTTGCCAGCAACGTTTTCCCACACCCAGGAGGACCAGCAAGGAGGACTCCAGCTGGAGTCACCAATCCAAGAGCTTGGAACTGATCTGGGTTACGTACTGGTGCCTGGAAAATATAAACCCAACGACAATCCATTACAAATGTCCTTTCATACTACATGTTCGAATTATCTCCAGATGCATATTTTCAGTACTGATCACGAGGCCTGAAGATATGAACAGTTCTTGGTGCAAAGTGCCATCATTCCAGGCATGAGACATGTGGTGATAAATAAAAAAGTCCTTGCTCTTGAGGAATTCATACTGGAATGTAATTTTTGAAAACATTTTAAATATGAAGACACAGTATTTCAACACTTAAAATTAAGATTTTTAAGAAAATTATCTAAATTTCTAGGTTGTAAAAATTTTAGGCATTGTCCTTTAAGAAACTAGAAGTGGCAGCACTCAAAAGCCAGAGATAACCTGTGACCTCAGTGTATGTTTTTTCAGTAGTTATACACCTCTAAATAGATCATAATTAATGAACCATGAAATGATCATCAGTAAGAATAAATGAAAATTAATCCAGAATTTCAGGGGCTTTAAAACTGCTTTGACACTTACAAGCGTGATCGAGTTCAGAAAGTTTTTATTTCTCAATTTGGTCTTGGTTGAAACATAAACTTTTCTTTTTAAACTCACTGCTACGAAATTCAAGCACAACCAAAAGAATTAAGTTTAAAACAGGTCTCAAAAGAATGAAAAACCATTGTTGGGGACTTAATAATAATATAACAGAACATACTAAAAATAGACATATAGTCCAGTTGATTTAGACATACAGTCTAGTATATGAGTGTGGTCATTTTCACATCGTGCACATGCCAATGGCATTTAGCAGCAGATACACCTACCAATATTGCCATGGTGAGCTCCTCTCTAATATCTTCCAGGGCACCAACATCTGCCCATGTAACATTAGGGACAGTGACAAAGCCTTCCCTTTTGGCAGAGGGTTGGACTGAGGATAGAGCAACAATGAAATCATTCAATTCAATGCACAGCCCTTGCAGCTGCTCCTCTGAGAGGGGATCTTGGTTTCTTAGCAACCTCAGCAGACTTTGCAATTCATCCTTAAAGGGAGCAATTGAGAGAAATGAAGAAAAACCACAAAGTTTGTTGAAAAGTTACTTTTTGTACTTCTAAAAATCACCCCTGCAGCATTTCTATAAGTTATAGTGAACTTCTATGTATTTTAATAATTTCTCCATTGACATAAGACATTTATTTTATTCTAAATGGATCATTTAATTTGGTGAAGGTACACCAATAATTCTCAAATATAGAATGATATTTGTACACTATACTAAGGCTAACTATTGCAAACATAAACAGTTGACAAACACATCAACAGCCATGTATTTCCATTTTTCGTTTACAAATACTCAAGAAGCAGCTGAATTTTAATATTAAAATAAAAGTACCCTGATGGTAGTATAATTTCATAATATGGTTCCTTGATAGCTTATCAACTAAAGAGAAAGCAGGCAATTTTCCAAGTACTTGAACTTCAAAGGCAGAATTCTTGACTTAGTGAAGAACATGAAAGGACAGGTATAAAAAGTAACTCCGAATAATTCAATTTATAAAATCCTAATTTACATGCAATCCTATGAAAGGAACGAGTTTATTATATTTAACAGGTTTAACTGTGGTTCCAAATGAGTGAGGAAGAAACAAATGATTTCTAAACAAAAGACCGGGATCTGAGTCCCTGCTCTGGAAAGTAAAGGCCATGTGGCCCCCAGCAAGTCATAACCTTTTTGTGTCTTTGACTATAAAATGAGAAAAGTAATGACATTTACTTGACAAAGTTATATGCATCTACTTATATAATATATAGAAGCCCTCTGTACAAGCTAGCAAATGCTACGTTATTTTGAGTTTTCTTGACTCACAAAACTCAAAATTTTAACACTGATATTGGACTAATAAACATGTCTCTTACATTCATGGGACTGTCCTCCACAGCCACCTGCAGCTAAGGACAAGGATCTGGTTGGCTCAGCAGAATATCTTAGTCCACCTAACCAAAAGATAACCAGGAAATACAACTAAATGCCCAACACGCTAATAGGAGTTGGCAAACTTTTTCCATAAAGGCCTAGAAAACAACCGCTGTAGGCTTTGTGGGTCATGTGTCTCTGTTGTAAGGACTCCTGTGTGAATTCTGCTGTGAAAAGTGAAAGCAGAAATAGACTATAAAAAATAAATGACCACAGCTGTGTTCCAATATAACTTTCATTTACAAAAACAGGTGGTAGGAGGAATGGCCAGTTTGCCAACTCTTGCTCTAGAATTTCATAATCATTATTTTCAAATGAATTTATTCTAGATAAACTAAAAGAATAAAACCTGTACTTTTGAAATGATAGATAGTCTGGGTGTGACTAATAATTATTCTAAAGATAAAATGCTAGTAAGACAGAAAATCATAAACCTCTGCTATACTGACACTTGCATGCATATAAGATAACACAAATTAAGAACATTTAAAGGACAGTTTAAGGAATCTGTATAGAAAGTACCTGTGTTTTAGAAGTGGGCTCAGTTCCAATCCTTTCTTCCTGGTTTCCTTCAGAGGGCAGACCTTCAGTCTCGGGATCTTTCCTCTGCTGCTCCCGTAGCGTCATTAAGACTCTATTGACTGCACACATGGCTGCCTCTCGGCAGAGTGCCATCAGATCAGCACCCACAAAGCCTGGTGTTAGGTGTGCTAAGTGACGAAAATGAAAAGTTGCAGGAAGTCTTAGTTTTCTGCACAAAGTTTGAAGTATTCTGTAGAAAATACAGAAGAAAAAATTCAGATTCCTAACCTACTAGTAAAGACAAGTCATCAAATACATTTATTTGAAGTCTTTGCTCCTTGTCGATGGTATTAAAATGGATACAGTATAAGATCGAAGAGTCCATTCATTCAACATATGAATCACTATTACATATCTCACCTTATTCCATTAAGGATTAAGGTAAATACCTGCTTTCTTAGGAATGATATTCAATGCTGTGAGGAATAAAAAATAGATTAAAAAAAAAATTCTGTCTTTAAGAATTCTACAATATTATAGCGTACATAAGCTAAATGATTCATGGAAATATAAGGTAGGTTCTACTTTTAGAGTAGATTAAATGGATATCTACCAGAAAGAAAAGCCTCCAAACTCAAATAAACCATTAATATTATTCATTACAAAAAGTTATGTTGATATATACTTTAATATCCAAATTTATATTAGGACAGTTACTTCTTCAAAAAATGGTATGAAAGTTACACAGGAGAAGTATTTAAGGCTAATGTGTCACGTCTTCAACCATCTTTCAAACGGCTTGGCAAAAAAAAGTATACATATACACAAATATATTTATTTTTATATAGAGTAAAAGTAAACATTGCAAAATGTTAACAAGTGGTAAAGTTAGCTGAAGGGCATACAGAAGTTTATTGTATTATTCTTTCAACTTTTCGGAAGGCTTGCATTTTTTCAAAATGTAGTAATCTACTAAAGCCCTTTAAGGACTTCGTTGATGATACCGGACAGATGAACAAAGGATTGTATCTAACAGGGATGATGGGCTCCCCTGTGTCCCTGTCTCTATCATTAAGTTCGGCACTTATCAAAAAAAGAGCTAGATAAAGGACACAAGCCTTATTTCTCTCTTACTGCACTGCAAGCATCTTGAAAGCAAAGACTTACAATTCTTTATATTCCTCATATTGCCTACCACAGTGGTATATACACGTACTTGCTGAATAAATGCAAACAACTTCTGTATTGAGTATTATTTCGCTGCAGGTAATGAACACATTAGTAAGCAAACTTAGATGGTTAGGTAACTGTTTAAAGATTGCACATGTGGGAGTGCCATTAGCATGCATACAGATGGCTATGAACACAACAGCTAAGGATGTAACTGCCAACCAAAAGCAGAAGCCACATTAAGTACTGGGAAGATGGGAAGGAGGACACACATGCCTTCCTAACCCTTCCTCCTACCCACAGTGCCTTCTGATTGCTTTTATTCCCTGCATTCATGAAGTCACTTGTTCTTCATCTCTTCCCTTCTTCACTGTCCCCCCGACTATTTCCTTTCACTACATGCTACTTTTTCTAAAAGCTGCTGGCAATCATGTACATCAATTTTAATGTCATTAACTTAAGCCAAAACCATTATAAATATGGTGTTTCAGATCATTTCTTTACTAGATTTCTACCCTACTGCTTGAACAGTGCCACCTGAGATATTTTTGATTATTGCCATTTTGGTGGACATTTCTTTGCTCCGTTGACATTCAACTCCAATAACTAGGAAAGGCTGGTCCTACAGCAAACACAGATTTCAACTCTCTGGCTGCCATTTAATTTTTTTTCACAGAACCTGTGGTTTTAGGCAGGTTAGTGCCACAGGTTAAGGTATGGTACTCAGATATAACCTACATGTGGACCAGTGAGCACTGCTCTGCCAACTAAAAAACTTTGCGTTTGCAAGCCATCGTTAGTAAGGCCATACAAATGAGTATGGAATAATGACTCCATTATCACTCCTGAAAAAAAACAGCCTGAAACAATTGTCCTTTTGATGAGTAAATTATTTTCTTAAGTATTAATTTAATGTGGGCTTTCTTCCCTTCCAAATCCATTTCAATGGTGTACGTGCACAAACACAGACACAAAGAAGAGAGGAAGAAAGGCTACCAGGTGTTTCTTGACCCTCAGTTGCAAAGCCTCCAGTTCAGATGACATAGTGGTACATCAACTTAATTCTAAAAAGCATACCTTTCCCTGGATGCTTCATCTGGGATGCCTAGGCATATTTCCCGGTCGAATCTTCCTGCACGTCTCAAAGCAGGGTCTAACGAGTCTGGTCGGTTCGTAGCTCCGATAACTAGGACCCGAGCTGTAGCAGCCACATTATTCAGATCTGGTTAAGAACCAGACACAGGGTGAGTGGTGAACAAGACATCTAACACTGAGGCCAATAATGCTTACATGAGTGATTTAAGTGGTTAGAAAGGATTACACACTTTCACGGCACTACACATAGAAAACACTGACTAAATGTCTACTATGTGAAAGATGTGAGGAAGATAATATAAACTGTCCTCAAGCAGCTCGCAATCTACTGAGAAACATGTAAGACATATTCTGTGAAGCTTAACAATAGGTATAAACAAAGCTCTACAGTAATATGATGGAAGAGAAATGAGTAGTTCATGGAGGAGGTAACATGCTGGCCTTGAAGGACAGGATGTTAATAAGTAGAGTCATAGGTTAATGAAATTCTACATGGGAGAAATGGTAGTGAAAGCACAGAGGTACAAACACATGTGGCTTGTTTAGACAAGGCGAGCAGTCTAACAGGGAGTCTGGACAAGGCAGTAGTACATGTCTCAAAATAGATTCACGGCATTAATTTAAAGTGGGGGAAATACAATATACAGTCTTCAGCTGCTCTAGCTTAATCTAGAGACAGAACGCAGAGCCTAAAGTGAATCTTCCGTAAGTTTTCTCTCAAGTGAGCCAGGGGACCAGCAGGGACTCTGAAGATACACTCCCTCACAGGTAATAAGAAGGCAGTAAGATGCTATTTAAGGACCCTAACAGCCAAGCCATGAGGAGTTTGGAGTATATTCTTTAGCCAACAGGAAGCCATGAAAGGTTTTTCTGATGTGATTTGTATTTTGGAAAGATAATTCTAATAATAATTATGAACAAGAAGAATCAAAGGGAAGAGTTTGTTGCGATTTGATGATAACGATCAGGTGAGAGATGAGTGAAATAAGGCAGGAACATAGTATATTTAAAGGAAAAGACCAATTTAAGTACAATGTGGTAGATAGAATCCAAAGCACTAAGCAAATGATTCCACATGAAGGGTGAGGGAGAAGGAAGAGACAGAGATGACTTAGTTTGGATGATGAGGTGGGTTGGGAGATAAATACAGGAGGCATTAAGCCTCACGACAACTCTGAGAGGTAGGTTTTTACATGAGGAAAATGAAGAACTGAGCTTGAGGGATGAGGGCTAAAACAAGACAAAAGATGTGGCAAACAGATGCTCATTAATGACTTTTCTATAACTACAGTTATACCGTGGAAATATATATGTAAATAAACATCTGGGTTCTAGCCTATGCTTTGCTAATGATTCGGTGTACGAACTTGGCCCTCTGTTCTCTGTGTTCAAATTGATGTATACAAGAAGATATTTAAGTTCCTTTCCAGCTCTTAATAATTAGATTTATGTCTGAGTTTAAGTTTAAATCAGGTAGAATTATTTCTCCTAAGTAATCTCATTATCTTGTTCATATTTACTTAAAAGTCTTAAATTATTAAAATTTAAAATTTATAAACTCTGAATTAATAAGCGTTTAAAATTCTTAAA